AAGTTCCCGTTTGGACCTTATTCGCGTTACTCGGTAAATTTATAGTCGGCGCGCCGCCCTACTTTTGGCCCGGCGGGCCCGCGGGGGCGGATGTCGAGTGCCAACGGAGCGGCGCGCGTTTTTTGCCGTTTTTTTCGAAAATTCGAGTTTTAGGCGTTTTAGGGCGTATCGACCTCCCCGTATGGATCTTATTCGCGTTCCCCGCTAAATTTGTAATCGGCGCGCGGCCCTTCTTTTTTATAATCCAGTCCCCCGGCGGACCAGTCGATCGCAGAGAGCGCGGCGTCGTCGCGATTTCGACGGTTTTTCCGACTTTTTCGACTAGAGTCGCGTTTAGCACCTCTACGAGACGTCCGACCTCCCCGTCGGAGACGTATTCGCGTTCCCCACTAAATTTATAGCCGGCGCGCGGCCCTACTTTTTCAAAAGCGAGCCCCGGGGAGAAGCGGCGTCGCGGAAACGAGAGTAGGTACTGATTACGTATCGCTATATACAGGCATAAATACATGCGTCTCGAGGTTCGATTTTTTTCGCAAATCTCGCGTTTTATACGTCAGAGGGCGGCGGATTCGGAGGTCCTCTCGCCGAAGCGGTCGGATCGCCCGCTCAAACGCCTTTTGACGGCCGTCCAAACGGCGTTCGCCTTTCGAGTGCACGGCGACGTGGCTTAAGAGTCATACATTTGACTCTTAATTTCATCTCAGTAGGTGGCTAGGTTGGTTAGGTGTTAGGACAAGATACTCGAGGGTCGTGGTTTCGAACCCGACCGCCGGGATTTTCGATAATTTGAGGCGCCCGTGATAAATCTGAATTTTTTTTTCACTTTTTTTTTCGTCGTTTCGCTATCACTTCCGGCTTATCGTATTTAACGAAAATGTTCGTTTTTTTTTTTAAATTCGAATTTTGCCGCCTCTACTGACTTCAGATTTCTCCGTCGAAGACTTATTCGCGTTCCCCGTCAAAGCAGTCCTTGATACTATTTATTACTATACACGGGCGTGAATATGTGCGTCGAAAACTTCGATTTTCTTTTTTTTGCAGTTTTTTTCAAAAATTCGAGTTTTAGCCCGTTTCGGTCGTATCGCCCTCCCCGTTTGGATCTTATTCGCGTTCCCCGCTAAATTTTTTTGAAATTTTTCGAGTTTTTCGAGTTTTACACCCTCGGGGGGCCCGGGGTCTCCCCGCTGTGACCTTATTCGCGTTCCCCGCTAGATTTACAGGCCGCGCGCGGCCGTATTTTCTTCCCGGCGGGCCCGCGGCAGCCGATCTCGCGCGCGATACGAGCTCCGCCGTCGCGCGCGTTTTTCGCCGTGTTTTTCGAAATATCGAGTTTTACCCCCCTCGGGGGCCCCGGGCGTCCCCGTTTGCGTTATATTCGCGCTCCTCGCTATATTTGTAGCCGGCGCGCTATCCTACTTTTTCAAAAATGAGTCCCCTCATCCGACTAGACAGTCGCCGACGCCGCGGCGTCGTCACGATTTCGACGGTTTTTCCGACTTTTTCCAACAGAGTCGCGTTTCGCTTCGTTTGTAGACTTTTCACCTCCCCGCCGAAGACGTATTCGAGTTCCCCGCTAAATTTATAGCCGGCCCGCAGTCCTACTTTTTCAAAAACGAGTCCCGGGGAGGAGCGGCGACGCGCAAACGAGAGTAGGTACCGAGTGGGTACGTCGTGTGTGTGCTATATACAGGCATAAATACATGCGTCCCGAAGATCGATTTTTTTCGCGAATCTCACCGAATCGAACTTCCGAAGCCGGTCGAGACGGTCGTCCCCTTACCGACGCGTTCGACCCCCCCGCTCGGACGCCATTTGACGGACGTGGACGCCGCTTTCCAGTTTCGGGTGCACGGCGACGCGGCTTAATAGTCATAGATTTGACACGATATTTCATCTGAGTAGGTAGTCGATAGGATAGGGCGCTAGGACATGTAACTAGGAGTCGTGGGTTCGATACCGTCCCCCGGCGATATCGAAGATTTGCGGCGGCCGTGATAATCTTGAGTTTATTTTCGCGTTTTTTTTTTTCGTCTTTTCTCCATCAGTTCCGTATTATCATATTTAAATAGTCCCCCCTCATAGACGGGGTACTTTTGACCCCCCCCCAATCAAATTTTTTTTGGCCGAGCATAACTTAGCCGGGGATCGTCGTAGCCGTATTTTGTAAACGGCTATGGGTTGTGGGTGACCACGTGCATACCATATCAAAAATTACCCCCCCTCCTTTTTTTGATTTAAGTATATCTCTGTCACGTTTCGACTTGGGTCCCCCGTTTTACCACCAAAATTTACGTTTCAAGACCCTCTAAATAGTCCCCCCATAGTCGGGGTACTTTTGACCCCCTCTCAAATTTTTCGGTGACAGTTATGAACGCCGTCCGCGATTCGACGCGATAATAATAACTAACTTACATGTATGCTTTGTCGTAGGTACCTATTAAATATATCACAGTTTGGTTGAGGTTGAGTTGTTGGTAATATTATGAATAACATATTGATATATATATTTATATATATTATGTGCTATTTATTATATACATGTATCTTTATACCTATTGATATATTTATATAATAACATTTTATAAAAATATATATATATAATACTATGTAGTAGGTACTTAATATATTACAGTTTTTAGGTGAGTCAAATTATGTATATTAAAAATATAATCTAATGTGTTTAATTAAATTATATGACTATGCTATAACTATTTAATAAATAATAATAATAATAAATATTTAGTTAACACTGCTACAAATTATAAATACTATTTGATATAATATTTATAAACTAATAGATCTAATTGAAATGATTAAATTCTGGTAGTTAAATTGTACAATTATTATAATATACCTAACTACTCTCTTTGATATTATTTATATGGATAGGTTTGATCGTTTGATGTAGTAGATATTTAATATATAACTTAACGTGTTTAAATATTACTATACTTATTAAACTATTTAATAAATAATAATAATAAATATTTAATTTACACTTGATTTTATCCAACGCACATATATGTTTCCTTTATACTTCAATAAACAATAGCGCAAGTACAATATAACTACTAACCTAGGTACATGTATACTTTGTAGTAGGTACCTACTTAATATATCACAGTTTGGTTGAGGTACGATACAAATACTGCTGCAGATAGTATATAATACTCTGATAGTTAAATTGTATTTGACATAATTTGTTATTGCTCAAAATATAGGTAGGTCTATAGTGTATATTAATTTAATTATGAGTTTCAAATTAATAAATTATGAATAACAAATTGATATACATTATGTACTATTTATTATATAGATGTATGTTTATACCTAATGATATATTTATATAATTTAAGCATAATATTATGTATGTACAAAGTGAAATCAGTGCATATTTTGGTCCATTGGTCTAAAAGTTTAAATGAAGTACTATTTACTATTAATTATATCATTGGTATTGGTTGGTATTGGTTGGTATATAAAATATGTCTTTTTCTAATAGTTTGCATTGTGTGTTAAACGGTATTGTTCGCGCCATTGAGCAGCGCGAACAAATGTTGTGCCACAGCTGCGCACATTGTCTCCCTGCCAGCTGTGATACTAGCGGTCGCTCTTATCAGGCTGCGTAGCCGTATCAGTTATCGTTGTTATCCGTCGTGTGATTGTTAACCGTTTTTGTAAGTTTAAAAAACGGTTTATCGTGAATTTATTTTATTGTCCCTCACTTCATATTTGAAACTTTTCGTCTTGTTCGTAATATGTCATTCGTTTTCTTTTTCTTCTTTCGCCGGCACTCGAGCTGTGAGGTGTTCCAGCCAGTGTCAATACATTCAATATAACCAGTACTTTATACAGCAGGCACAAGGTACAAAGTACAAAAACCGTGTGGCCCTAGCTTGTTACACATTAATATTTTATTCGTCTCTTTTTCAATTCGTGTCTAATTTCATCGTTGTTTTTTCGTTCATGTTTCCTGTTCTGTGATTTGCTTCTGTAAGTATCGTTCGTAGTCACTACATTGTGCAATTCTAATATTATTTTCCCCATTCAGGGCGTTCAGAGACATACTTATAGAAGCACGTGATTTGTTCGTTGTTGGTGAATTGCATGTTCAGTGAGTTAAGCGTCTGATCTGGTGGCTTGTTAGTCGCACGTTCTCGGGGTTGTCACATATTTTAGTATTACATTGTATTATTTTTATTGTAAAAATTAGTGCATCCCGAGGCGGTAGCGTTCTGGTTTGAAGCCGCTAACGAACGCCAGATCCCAGGTAACAGGCTGACGAGCCTCATATTATTATTTACACATTATTATATATTTTACGCCAGCAGGGCTACCTATTATTTTCATTATACATTATTATTGTGTTGAGCCAGCAGGGCTACCTATTATTTTTATGACACATTATTATATTGTTGAGTCAACAAGGCTACTTAATCATTTATATTATTTTGTTATTCTTTCTTTGTAAAAATAAAGTTACCATTATCAAAAGTTGCTTCTTGATTAATTTTATATTTATTTTTATTGCTGTATGATAATTTAGAGCAGTGCAACTCAGATTGCAACAGCGTAAAGGCACATCTGTTCCTTTAAGGCGCAGAGGCTAGGTGCGCTCATACATTTTGGTGACCTCGACGTGATATCTGTTTTTATATAATTGCATTAATTAATGTGCAAATAATTTAGTGCAACATTGGGACGCATGGCTTGTGACACTAATATGTGGCCAGCTTGATTCTATCACTGCCAGTGAGTGGCAACTGCGACAAGATAAGGAGCTACCATCTTACAAAGATCTTGAGTCATTCTTGGCAAAACGAGTAACTGCTTACGAAGTTGGTCTCATATCAAATCCTTCAGTTGAAAAGGCTTCACGAGCAAAAAATAGCAATCATAATAACAAAATATTTTTTACTCACTCTGCCGAAGGAAAGGTATTTAAGTGTCCTATCTGCACACAACCTCATAAAATCTATTCATGTAATAGTTTTCTGAAAATGTCAATTGCTGAAAGAAAAAACGCCGTTGCTGCTGCAAAATTATGTTACAACTGTTTAAACTATGGACATCAAATTAAAGATTGTCGCTTGTCGTCATGCCCAAAATGCAATAAACGGCACAATTCAAAATTACATGAGGATACCCCATCGAACAATTTACTGGCTGAATCAAACTGCGCTGAAATAGACACGAGTGGGAGTGCACCCAGTTCAGTATTTTTAGCAGGTGCTACTAATGGTCAAAACTCTGATGTCAAATTCAATGTCATGTTGTCAACGTCCATCATTATGGTCCAAGATCCAGCTGGAAATTGGCATAAGTGTAGAGCCATCCTAGATTCTGGATCTCAACTTAATTTTATCACTAATGAGTGTGCAAGGAGATTAAAGTTACTATCACATGGCAACAAACAACAATTCATTACTGGTATCGGCTCCATAAGTTCATCAGCTTCAAGTTCATTCTCAGCATCTATTTCTTCACGATTTTGTGTCCATGAAGTGACTGCTGTCTTACATTCATTATCTACAATAGTAAATGTATTACCCTCCCATAGGATTGAACGGAGCGACATTATGTTGCCAAGACACATTATGGACGAACTTGCTGATCCAAAATTCGATGAACCAGGCAGTATTGATATATTGCTTGGGTCAGAAATATTTTTCGACATTTTGGGCACTGAAAAATGGCCACTTACAGAAACGGCTTCGTTACGCAGCACCGATTTTGGCTGGATAGTCGTAGGAAAAATGCCTATTAAGTTCAGTCAAGTCAAGCATATATCAAACGCTGTGTCTTCAAGTTCATCCTTGTCTTTATTTACCTCAGTAGCTGTACAGAAAACAGCCAATGAACAAAAGGCAGAAGCGCATTTTTTATCAACAGTGGCACGAGACAAAAACGGCAGATTTGTTGTGAAGCTACCGTTTGCCCAGGATCCACAAGCATTAGGCGACTCACGAAACATGGCCCAAAAGCGATTCTCAAATCTAGAAAGACGTTTTGCAAAGGACCCAAGTCTCGCAAACGAATATAAGGCATTCATGACCGAGTACCTCGAGATGGATCATATGGAAGTCGCCACCAACACTACCAATCCATGTTATTACTTACCTCATCACGCTGTGTTGAAGGCGAATAGCCTAACCACCAAACTTAGAGTAGTATTTGATGGATCAGCTGCATCAAACTCAGGGTTATCATTAAACGACATTTTGTTAAAGGGACCAAAATCCCAACCGGATATCATCAACATATTATTGCGGTTCCGTGTCCACAATATTGCAATCACAGCAGATGTGGAAAAAATGTACAGGCAGGTGCGAATGGCAGATGAAGACTGTGACTTCCAGCGTATATGTTATCGTGCTAATCCACATGATCAGTTGACAGAATATAAACTGAAGACTGTAACATACGGTACCAAAGCCGCCTCATTTTTAGCTACTCGGTGTCTCACTAAAGTCGCTGATGAAGTGAATGATGCCTCAATTAGGAGAATCATTTCTCAGGACTTTTATGTGGACGATCTGATAAGTGGTGGAGAGTCAATAGAAGCAGTGCACAATATCTACCGCCAGCTGCATTCTACTCTAATGCAATATGGATTTCCACTCCGAAAGTGGTGTTCAAGCTCCCGCCAACTTATTGATCTCATACCACAACAACAAAGCGACAGCAATTTTCTCATAAACATGAGCGAGGATGACACAATAGGGACATTGGGTCTTCTATGGCAACCAGCATCAGACAATTTTCTATTTCTAGTTAAACAATGGTGTCCAGTAGCCAGAATGACAAAACGATCTCTTTTATCTGACATCAGTAAGGTGTTTGATCCAATTGGTTTGTTGTCTCCCGTGTTAATCAGAGGAAAAATTTTCTTGCAGCAATTGTGGTCATTAAAAATCAGCTGGGATGATGTGCTCTCTGAAGATTTACAAAATCGTTGGACAAAATTTTATACTAGTTTGCAGTACTTAAATCAGGTGATCGTTCCAAGGAAGGTCATGATGTCTCCTTCGTCAAACATTCAGCTCCATGCCTTTAGTGATGCTTCCCAAGAAGCATTCGGAGCTTGTGTTTATATGCGTTCAATGAAATCTGATGGCAGTATTGACGTTCGATTATACACCTCAAAGTCCAGAGTAGCCCCTATGAAACCATCAACTATTCCGAGATTGGAATTATGCGGAGCATTATTAGCAGCAGAACTCGCCAATGACACATTAGCTGAACTCAAAGCGCTAAATGTCAATGTGCCACCAATCGATGTATACTTATGGTCAGACTCTTCTATAGTAATTGCTTGGATACAGAGCCAGTCTCTATTTTCGGCTTATATATCAAACAGGCTTGCTCGAATCCTTGACGTTTCGTCTCCTGACCAGTGGCATCACGTGCCTACGAAGGAAAACCCAGCAGACTTAATTTCTCGGGGGATTGATGCTGCATCCATTTCACAGTCGAAATTGTGGTGGCATGGACCCTATTGGCTGATGCAAGGAAAAGGCAGGTGGCCTAACAGCTATCAAACACCAGATACCCTTCCTGAAGTTCGTGCAGTAAAGCTGGTACTCACAGCATCAGGTACACCTGCACCTTGGTTGTTAGAGAAATACTCAAGTTGGTCAACATTGCTTAGAATTACAGCTTTAGTACAGCGCTTTATCAATAATTGCAAATTTTCGCTTTTAAACAAACGCGATAGACGTACAGTTGGCTTTTTAACCATCACAGAAATTGCAGATGCTGAACGATTCTGGGTAACTAATGCTCAAATCAGCGCATTTGATGATGAGTTGTCTTCTTTAAAGGCAGGTAAACTGGTACGTCGTTGTAGTCCACTATTCAGACTAAGTCCATTTATCGATGAACATGGAGTGATAAGAGTAGGTGGTCGCCTGGTGAACTCGCCCATAAGTTATGACTCAAGGCATCCAATGGTATTGCCTTCAAAAAGCATGGTAACCAAGATGATCTTCAATTATGAGCATCGTCGCTTAATGCATGCTGGCCCTCAAGCATTATTTGCTCATGTGTCACGAAAGTACTGGCCTCTTAGAGGAAGAGAAACCGCTAGAAAAACAGTCCATCATTGTTTACAATGTTTCCGCACAAAGCCGATATTCCTCTCGCCAGTGATGGCCCCGTTACCACGTGAAAGAGTCACCATTAGTCGGGCATTCTCGAAAACAGGAGTGGACTATTGTGGCCCCATCATGGTGAGAAGTGGACTTAGAAGAGTCACACCAAAAAAAAGTTACATATGCGTGTTTGTATGTATGGTAACAAGAGCAATACATTTAGAATTGGTTTCCTCATTAACAACAGAAGACTTTCTTGCCACACTCTCCCGTTTCATGGCTCGGCGAGGACAAATTTCAGTGCTGTATAGTGACAATGGCACAAATTTTGTTGGTGCTGATCGAGCATTACAATCTCAATTTAAAGCACATAAAAAAGACAAAGCTGTAAATGACTACTTAAGCATTAACGCCATCCAGTGGAAATTCATACCAGCAGCAGCGCCTCACTTCGGAGGCCTGTGGGAAGCGGCAGTCCAATCAGCAAAGCGACATTTATATCGAGTATCAAAGGGAGTGTTATTAACCTATGACGAAACCACGACGTTACTTTGCAAGGTAGAGGCCGCATTAAACTCAAGGCCCTTGACACCTATGTCGTCAGATCCTGGTGATTTAAACGTATTAACACCTGGGCATTTCCTGGTCGGTGGCCCTTTAATGTTGCCTCCTGAACCTGACCACTCGACAGTTCCTCAAAACCGATTGCGCAGATTCAAGCTTATGCAAGCACAATTTCAAATATTTTGGAAGCGATGGCTGTCAGAGTACCTGCCCCAATGTCAAAGGAAGGGAAAATGGCTAAAAAGAACTCGAAGTGCTGTGGTCGGCGACATTGCAATATTAAAAAACGAATTGTTACCACCGTTACAATGGCCTCTGGTCCGGATAACAGAGATTCATCCAGGGCGAGACGGTATTGTTAGAGCAGTCACTGTGCGCAACTCTGCGGGTCAATTATTCAGCCGTCCAGTGGTGAAGCTGGCATTTCTACCAATACCTGAAGATGAGAATCAGGATACAGCTGTCTAGTCATTGTTAAAAAAAAATTGTTCTAAAATAATTATGGTTTTTTTTTTTTTTTTTTTTATAAATCATGGTTTTGTTTAATTTTTTTTATATATTTATACACACTTGTATTATGCAGTTTTGAAAGGCCTTATCCTTTCAAAAGGGGGGTATATGTTCGCGCCATTGAGCAGCGCGAACAAATGTTGTGCCACAGCTGCGCACATTGTCTCCCTGCCAGCTGTGATACTAGCGGTCGCTCTTATCAGGCTGCGTAGCCGTATCAGTTATCGTTGTTATCCGTCGTGTGATTGTTAACCGTTTTTGTAAGTTTAAAAAACGGTTTATCGTGAATTTATTTTATTGTCCCTCACTTCATATTTGAAACTTTTCGTCTTGTTCGTAATATGTCATTCGTTTTCTTTTTCTTCTTTCGCCGGCACTCGAGCTGTGAGGTGTTCCAGCCAGTGTCAATACATTCAATATAACCAGTACTTTATACAGCAGGCACAAGGTACAAAGTACAAAAACCGTGTGGCCCTAGCTTGTTACACATTAATATTTTATTCGTCTCTTTTTCAATTCGTGTCTAATTTCATCGTTGTTTTTTCGTTCATGTTTCCTGTTCTGTGATTTGCTTCTGTAAGTATCGTTCGTAGTCACTACATTGTGCAATTCTAATATTATTTTCCCCATTCAGGGCGTTCAGAGACATACTTATAGAAGCACGTGATTTGTTCGTTGTTGGTGAATTGCATGTTCAGTGAGTTAAGCGTCTGATCTGGTGGCTTGTTAGTCGCACGTTCTCGGGGTTGTCACATATTTTAGTATTACATTGTATTATTTTTATTGTAAAAATTAGTGCATCCCGAGGCGGTAGCGTTCTGGTTTGAAGCCGCTAACGAACGCCAGATCCCAGGTAACAGGCTGACGAGCCTCATATTATTATTTACACATTATTATATATTTTACGCCAGCAGGGCTACCTATTATTTTCATTATACATTATTATTGTGTTGAGCCAGCAGGGCTACCTATTATTTTTATGACACATTATTATATTGTTGAGTCAACAAGGCTACTTAATCATTTATATTATTTTGTTATTCTTTCTTTGTAAAAATAAAGTTACCATTATCAAAAGTTGCTTCTTGATTAATTTTATATTTATTTTTATTGCTGTATGATAATTTAGAGCAGTGCAACTCAGATTGCAACAGCGTAAAGGCACATCTGTTCCTTTAAGGCGCAGAGGCTAGGTGCGCTCATACATTTTGGTGACCTCGACGTGATATCTGTTTTTATATAATTGCATTAATTAATGTGCAAATAATTTAGTGCAACATTGGGACGCATGGCTTGTGACACTAATATGTGGCCAGCTTGATTCTATCACTGCCAGTGAGTGGCAACTGCGACAAGATAAGGAGCTACCATCTTACAAAGATCTTGAGTCATTCTTGGCAAAACGAGTAACTGCTTACGAAGTTGGTCTCATATCAAATCCTTCAGTTGAAAAGGCTTCACGAGCAAAAAATAGCAATCATAATAACAAAATATTTTTTACTCACTCTGCCGAAGGAAAGGTATTTAAGTGTCCTATCTGCACACAACCTCATAAAATCTATTCATGTAATAGTTTTCTGAAAATGTCAATTGCTGAAAGAAAAAACGCCGTTGCTGCTGCAAAATTATGTTACAACTGTTTAAACTATGGACATCAAATTAAAGATTGTCGCTTGTCGTCATGCCCAAAATGCAATAAACGGCACAATTCAAAATTACATGAGGATACCCCATCGAACAATTTACTGGCTGAATCAAACTGCGCTGAAATAGACACGAGTGGGAGTGCACCCAGTTCAGTATTTTTAGCAGGTGCTACTAATGGTCAAAACTCTGATGTCAAATTCAATGTCATGTTGTCAACGTCCATCATTATGGTCCAAGATCCAGCTGGAAATTGGCATAAGTGTAGAGCCATCCTAGATTCTGGATCTCAACTTAATTTTATCACTAATGAGTGTGCAAGGAGATTAAAGTTACTATCACATGGCAACAAACAACAATTCATTACTGGTATCGGCTCCATAAGTTCATCAGCTTCAAGTTCATTCTCAGCATCTATTTCTTCACGATTTTGTGTCCATGAAGTGACTGCTGTCTTACATTCATTATCTACAATAGTAAATGTATTACCCTCCCATAGGATTGAACGGAGCGACATTATGTTGCCAAGACACATTATGGACGAACTTGCTGATCCAAAATTCGATGAACCAGGCAGTATTGATATATTGCTTGGGTCAGAAATATTTTTCGACATTTTGGGCACTGAAAAATGGCCACTTACAGAAACGGCTTCGTTACGCAGCACCGATTTTGGCTGGATAGTCGTAGGAAAAATGCCTATTAAGTTCAGTCAAGTCAAGCATATATCAAACGCTGTGTCTTCAAGTTCATCCTTGTCTTTATTTACCTCAGTAGCTGTACAGAAAACAGCCAATGAACAAAAGGCAGAAGCGCATTTTTTATCAACAGTGGCACGAGACAAAAACGGCAGATTTGTTGTGAAGCTACCGTTTGCCCAGGATCCACAAGCATTAGGCGACTCACGAAACATGGCCCAAAAGCGATTCTCAAATCTAGAAAGACGTTTTGCAAAGGACCCAAGTCTCGCAAACGAATATAAGGCATTCATGACCGAGTACCTCGAGATGGATCATATGGAAGTCGCCACCAACACTACCAATCCATGTTATTACTTACCTCATCACGCTGTGTTGAAGGCGAATAGCCTAACCACCAAACTTAGAGTAGTATTTGATGGATCAGCTGCATCAAACTCAGGGTTATCATTAAACGACATTTTGTTAAAGGGACCAAAATCCCAACCGGATATCATCAACATATTATTGCGGTTCCGTGTCCACAATATTGCAATCACAGCAGATGTGGAAAAAATGTACAGGCAGGTGCGAATGGCAGATGAAGACTGTGACTTCCAGCGTATATGTTATCGTGCTAATCCACATGATCAGTTGACAGAATATAAACTGAAGACTGTAACATACGGTACCAAAGCCGCCTCATTTTTAGCTACTCGGTGTCTCACTAAAGTCGCTGATGAAGTGAATGATGCCTCAATTAGGAGAATCATTTCTCAGGACTTTTATGTGGACGATCTGATAAGTGGTGGAGAGTCAATAGAAGCAGTGCACAATATCTACCGCCAGCTGCATTCTACTCTAATGCAATATGGATTTCCACTCCGAAAGTGGTGTTCAAGCTCCCGCCAACTTATTGATCTCATACCACAACAACAAAGCGACAGCAATTTTCTCATAAACATGAGCGAGGATGACACAATAGGGACATTGGGTCTTCTATGGCAACCAGCATCAGACAATTTTCTATTTCTAGTTAAACAATGGTGTCCAGTAGCCAGAATGACAAAACGATCTCTTTTATCTGACATCAGTAAGGTGTTTGATCCAATTGGTTTGTTGTCTCCCGTGTTAATCAGAGGAAAAATTTTCTTGCAGCAATTGTGGTCATTAAAAATCAGCTGGGATGATGTGCTCTCTGAAGATTTACAAAATCGTTGGACAAAATTTTATACTAGTTTGCAGTACTTAAATCAGGTGATCGTTCCAAGGAAGGTCATGATGTCTCCTTCGTCAAACATTCAGCTCCATGCCTTTAGTGATGCTTCCCAAGAAGCATTCGGAGCTTGTGTTTATATGCGTTCAATGAAATCTGATGGCAGTATTGACGTTCGATTATACACCTCAAAGTCCAGAGTAGCCCCTATGAAACCATCAACTATTCCGAGATTGGAATTATGCGGAGCATTATTAGCAGCAGAACTCGCCAATGACACATTAGCTGAACTCAAAGCGCTAAATGTCAATGTGCCACCAATCGATGTATACTTATGGTCAGACTCTTCTATAGTAATTGCTTGGATACAGAGCCAGTCTCTATTTTCGGCTTATATATCAAACAGGCTTGCTCGAATCCTTGACGTTTCGTCTCCTGACCAGTGGCATCACGTGCCTACGAAGGAAAACCCAGCAGACTTAATTTCTCGGGGGATTGATGCTGCATCCATTTCACAGTCGAAATTGTGGTGGCATGGACCCTATTGGCTGATGCAAGGAAAAGGCAGGTGGCCTAACAGCTATCAAACACCAGATACCCTTCCTGAAGTTCGTGCAGTAAAGCTGGTACTCACAGCATCAGGTACACCTGCACCTTGGTTGTTAGAGAAATACTCAAGTTGGTCAACATTGCTTAGAATTACAGCTTTAGTACAGCGCTTTATCAATAATTGCAAATTTTCGCTTTTAAACAAACGCGATAGACGTACAGTTGGCTTTTTAACCATCACAGAAATTGCAGATGCTGAACGATTCTGGGTAACTAATGCTCAAATCAGCGCATTTGATGATGAGTTGTCTTCTTTAAAGGCAGGTAAACTGGTACGTCGTTGTAGTCCACTATTCAGACTAAGTCCATTTATCGATGAACATGGAGTGATAAGAGTAGGTGGTCGCCTGGTGAACTCGCCCATAAGTTATGACTCAAGGCATCCAATGGTATTGCCTTCAAAAAGCATGGTAACCAAGATGATCTTCAATTATGAGCATCGTCGCTTAATGCATGCTGGCCCTCAAGCATTATTTGCTCATGTGTCACGAAAGTACTGGCCTCTTAGAGGAAGAGAAACCGCTAGAAAAACAGTCCATCATTGTTTACAATGTTTCCGCACAAAGCCGATATTCCTCTCGCCAGTGATGGCCCCGTTACCACGTGAAAGAGTCACCATTAGTCGGGCATTCTCGAAAACAGGAGTGGACTATTGTGGCCCCATCATGGTGAGAAGTGGACTTAGAAGAGTCACACCAAAAAAAAGTTACATATGCGTGTTTGTATGTATGGTAACAAGAGCAATACATTTAGAATTGGTTTCCTCATTAACAACAGAAGACTTTCTTGCCACACTCTCCCGTTTCATGGCT